TTCTCTATCTTCCTTACCAGGTTCATTTACCCCTTTGCCTCTTAGAATTTCCTATAGCTTACTTCTCTTCACCTTATCGAAGGCGGCTTTTAAATCTGCAAACAACATATATATTTTTTTCTTGTCTTCTTGATTCCTTTCTCTTTGTATCAAGTGCATCAATATAAAAATATAATCTAACGTTGACCTTTCTCTTCTAAAGCTTATATAATCAAGCTTTCTAGCTTGATTATCCGGAATCATCTTTTGTTTCCACTTTTTTTTCCAATTTTACCTCTGCATATATTTTATACGCCATGCACAATAACGAGAGTTCTTTATAATTCGTTACTCTTTCCACGTCTCCTTTTTTGTATAATGATACAATTATGTTTTCCTTCCAATCTTGCGGCATCATGCCTACTCTCCACATTTTTTGTAGTAGATACACCAGCTTCGACCTTAACTCCTCGCCTGTGTATAACCATGCTTCCATAAGTATCCTATTAATTTCTATCGTTTTATTCTTCTTACACAACGCTCTACCTATCTCTTCGGCCTTCAATTCTTTTCCATTTCTTCTCTTTCTCTTTTCTTTTTCTTTTCTTCTTTCTCTTTCAATATAGACCTATCCTTGTCCTGTTGTGTTATAGTTTCATCATTCTCAATACCTTTCAATAGTTCTTTAAAATGTTTCATTCTTCGTTCTTTATATTATTTTCTTTCCATACTTTTTTACCTCTTCCTATTTATATACTTCCATACATCTTCCCTCTTCAGCTTTTTCAGTTTCTCTTCTTCCTCTTTTCTTTTCTCTTTTTGCTTCTTTTCTAATAAACTCTCTTTGTAGATATTTTTCCTTCGTCCTTTTACCTTCCTTCCATTTCTTACATGTCCTCTTCACTTCTCTTTTCTTCCTGGTGCAACTGATATCTCATCAGTCCTTGTATTCGATACTCTTTTTTTTCTTTTTATTTTCTTTATTACATTGTTGAACACAATCTATTTAATTTCCTCTCACATGACTTCTATTTCCTCATCCTCATTTTCCATCATTTAGCACTTCTGTATTTTTTCTGTAGCTCTCTATAGCCTCTCTATTCCATACAATAATGTCTTCTTCTTTGGTGACATACTCTTCATCTCGATCCTCTTCAACACTGTTTTCTTCTGGCCCAAATGCGCTTTTTTTCTCCAGTGTCACGCACAGTGGCGTGTGATCCAATTTCTCATCTTAAATTCTATGATCCTATTGCAAATTTAGTCATTAGCTATCACAAAATCTATAACCGAACTATTTCTTGCATATTGTATAATTTAAAAATATCTTAAAAATAAATTTATTTAAGTATAAAAATTACAAAAAATGCAGTATATATTATGTAATATGACAGCATTATTTTATTCATGAAAATAACACACAATGTTTACTATATGCATATATTTTTTGAGATCTATTCCTCTACTAAAAATAATTTTGACATCCGTTTACCGCAAAAATCTGCATATAATATTCTATTAGTATCAAGAAAAAAATGTAGCGAAAAAGTAATGATTCGTTATATTCTGAATAACGATAACGGAAATGAGTTACTTTTGCAAATCAATAATGAGTATCGAGTTATTTTTTTAGCAAAAAAAAAATTATAACGGTAACGAGTTATTTTTATGAGGTAACGTTGCCAATCCTGTATCTTTTTCTCCGTCCTCTAAATCCTCTCCTGCTAATTCCCCTATTCTAACATTAAAATCGCCTCCTATAATTACATTTTTATCCTCCATATTTTCCTCTTTAATCCTTCTTTTGCCTCCTTGAGCTCCATATACTCATACTATATGCAACTTTTTTCTCCCCACCTTTATCTTCGATACAATTACACTTTTCCACTCTTTACTAATTAATCTATCTTCATTACTTCTCTATTCTTTCCTCTTTCCTATTATAAAACCACTCCTTGCCCTCCCTTGCTTTTTCTCCTTCCTAACACAACTGCAATCTCATACATGTGTCTTTAATCTATCTTTTAAAATCTTCCCATTTTTATCTAACCATGTCACACAAACTCACAAAATCATATCTTTTCACATATCTCCAGAAATCTAAATCCTTTTCTCTCAAACCTGCAATATTCCAAAACAATAACTTCCGTTTTTTTTTTGTTTTCTTTCTTTTACCCCCTTCCTTGATCACTTTCTTTTTGCCTTAGTCCAGTGTCGGAATTAGTTGCCCATTTCGGGCAGATTCCTGAGTCGACTCCCACTACCACTCGAGACTCTGTGCCCCAGGAGCGTCGCAATATAAAAAGTATGCTGGGAGCATATCTTCCGGCATAAATATCATTAAAATATTTTCTTTCTTACATGATTTTTATTTTAATATTTATTATTATTAACATATTATATGTATATTCTACAATAATATTATATAATAAGGAATAATATAGTAAGTAATTATTATAATACTGTAATTATGTAATTACAGTATTGGCGGAAGCACAATATAGCGGAAAATTTAAATTGAAATTTGGTGACGCACTCTGTATTATCTTGTTTATTAATATTCAAATCGTCTCCCTTTCATCGTTCAGGTTTACAACTTTTCGCATACAGCAAGAATAGAGCAGGCTTTCGTTTTAAATAAAAATGCATCGAATGAGCCTAATTTCATTAAAATCGGAAGTGAAATAACGATTCTAAATAAATACAGACTAAAAATACGTGTACATAGCGCTGCAAGTCGATGTGACAGATTTCCTAATTACAATGTCAATTTTAACGCTTAATATCTCGGTTTGCGGGATTGGACGTGACAGTTTACAGATTCTTTTGTCGCATTTTTGAATGAAAATGAAATGAACATAATTTTATTAAAATTGAAGATGAAGAGCATCTTCTAAATAATTATCCGAGAATTTATGAGTAATAGAATCATAAATATATAATAAGAATATATATAAATAAGAGCAAGCCTACATATAAAAACATTTTGTGTCATCAGTATCTTTAATTAAGAATTTTTTTAAATGAAATTGCATTCATTTTCATCACACGAATCTAATATTTCCATGTAAACAATATGGGACGCCATTTTTATCTTGCACTAAAATGTTTTTTTATTCCTTGCCTGCACGCTTAGACTCGTCAGTTCTGGATTGCACTAGTTCAATTCAGTTCAGTTCTAGTGCAATCCTCGTGCAGGAACAGAAAACAAACCTCAAGTTAAAACTTTAATTTATTATATCTCCTAAATCAGTGCTGTCTCTTATTTAATTTTTGAGGGGCGAATTATTCAGAACAACCTCCTCTCACCTCTACAATATATCTCAAAAGTAATAATACCAATGAAATCTAGATGTAAACTGTTTATCGAATGCATACATATTGTACATACAAAGATTTCTGTTTCCATTTATCTTGTGCAATTTTAACTTTTTTAATACGAAATATTAGATTAAATCAATATTAGATAAAACAATATAAATATGTGCTCTATATTTTCTTTTTTTATGTATGTTAAGATAACTGATTATATGTATGTAGTCACATATTTATCACGTATTCGTATTAGATAATAATATTGAAGATAATAATATTGATAAAATTAATAAATTCTATATTATAAGCAAATTATTTATTACTTGTTTTAACAAAAACTTAAATATTTTACTACTTTTTTCTAATCTATATTATTTTATACAGAAAATTATTATATCTAATGCTTTTTTCAAAAAATTAATATTTGTTTTCAATTCTAAAGGAAAGATTTATGAAAATTGTTTAATTATTATGTTCTTTTTTCACAAATTTTCCCAAGTTTTGAGAGAACTAAAATTGTATAATTTTATACATCAAGATTTTAATAAAAATTTAAACTGTTTAAAAAATATGAGCGATTTAATCTTATTTTTTTAGTTTGTTATAATTTCACTCAACTCACGATATAAAAAATAAGAAAAAAATAAATTAATAAAATAAATAATAAAATAAATTAAGTTTTATGTAATTATGCAGAATAGAGATTATATATATTTTTTGATCTCCCCCCATTTTTTATCACTATTTGAATCATAAAGATTATTATCAACATTGCAGCTGAAAAATGTCAAAATTCGGAAAAGACTCTATTCTGCATAATTATCTAAATTTTATAATATTTTTTATTTTATGTAAAAATTACAAAAGGCCTTGTTTTGAGTATGTAACGATTAAGTCTAATAACTCTAATAATATCTAATTGCTAATGCTATGAATAATCATAAAATGAATAATGTGAATGCATTGTATAACAGTAATCAATATTAACTGTGTGTAATCACTAATTAATATCAGATCAATGCGCGTGTAACTATTGGCCTGAGCGCGCAGACTCTATCCCCTACAGCACAAAAATTGCAGCAACATTGCAATATTGCAGTCTTATTGCTGCAAATTCTGTTCTGTAAGATATTATTATCTTTAATCAATTATATGACTTAAAAACTATTGTGGCCTCGACATTTTCGTATTAGGATATTTTATTCTATTTTACTTTCAGAATACATGAAATTATTGGAGGTTGTGAGACACCCTGTTTACTTGCGCTCAAGGTCAAATAAATATCATTTGTTGAAATCTTTCTACACTTCGAAGATACATTTTTACGAACCGCTCAAACCGGCTATTCAGCAACGTAAACGATCGCGTGATCAAAATTGACACTTGATATTCATTAATTTTAACCATGTAATTCTTTTTGTCGCTGAAATGGTCGGTTTAAGCGGGTCGTAAAAATTTACCTTAATAGTGTGCGAGGCGCGCTATGTATCTTAAGAATTTCAATTTAATATATATAGTTTTTATGTTTTTTAATTATTAATTTCTTTCGTCACTTCTTGTTACATAAAGATTAATTTTGTAATCATAAATTTTAATTACAACGTTTGTGTTACTTTAGGAAGGAAAAGAAACGCTGAACAATGTCAATGCAACCGGTTTGGCTATGTTGTTTAGTGCTGGAACATTCCTTTATGTAGCCACTGTACATGTTTTGCCAGAATTGATGACAAGAAGCAGTAATTATTCGCATGTGCCAAGCGTCGAGGGTACAACACTTTCTGCAACCGGGCTTAAAGTTAAAGAAATATTATTCTTAGTAATAGGAATATTTTTACCTGCTTTGATTACAACTGGACATCATCATTGATTAAATGAAATATTATATGAAGATATTCACATATGTAAATGAATCTTCTTATTTTAATTTAAAAAATGCAATCTTTAAGATAATTTTTATAATTATTTTAAGATTTAAAAAGTTGTTAGTTTTATATTGTATATATGTAAAGATATCGACATAATCGAGAAAAACGTTAACAGATGTGTACATACTCAGAAAACCAGAATAGATTAATATGGATTGAAATGAATTTGGATTTTTAGAAGTACGCTTTCGTAAACGTTAAAATGAATCCTCTTCAATCCGGATGCATTTTTAATCATTTACACGAATAGATTGAAGCATATTTTTTTATCTAAAAATAATATTAGTTTTTGTATGCCTCGTGTATATGGTACTTCTCAATTCAAAATTCTGAATAGAAAATGCAATTTTTCAATTGAATTCAGTTGAATCCAATTTAATCTAATTAAATAAAAAAAAGTTTATTATTTAAAATACGCATTCGGATCGATAGACTTTTAATCCACTTTAATCCATTCTTCTTTATTGGGTATTTCTTAACATGATTAAAATATATTTTTTTATTGAGAATTGAACCAACATAAATTTAATTATTAAATAGGTAAATATTGGGAGTACAAATTAGTTCGATCCGTTTTCCAAAAGATGACTCCGGCTGTTGGTTCATAGTGACAGCTGATTTTGGCGTTTTCAGAGAGGTTAGACATCTGCTAATAATATTCAGTTTATATCGCTTTGAGTTTCATACAAAAACCTTGATTTTTACTGTGTTTGAAATGTCGAATTTCGTGTTAACCAAGCAGCATTTGCGGGAGATTCTAATTTTCTGCTTGGAAGAAAAGTGCAGCTGAAGTCCATCGAATGCTTGTCGAAGTTTATGGTGATATTCCAACTGATAAATCATGTAGGGAATGGTTTCGACGTTTCAAGGATGGAGATTTCAGCGTTGAAGACAAGTTTCGCTCTGAACAGCTAAAAAAATTCGAAGACAAAGAATTAGAGGCATTACTCGAAGAAGATCAGAGTCAAATGCAAGAGGAGCTTGCAGAATCATTGGGAGTAACTCAACAAGCCGTTTCTGCACGATTGAGAGCCATGGGAATAATTGAAAAATAAGGAAATTGGGTGCCTTATGAACTGAAACCGAGAGACGTTGCAAGGCGATTTTTTACTTGCGAACAACTGATTCAAAGACAACAGAAAGAAAAAGTTTTTTGCATCGAATTGTGACTGGAGATGAGAAGTGGATATTCTACGACAACTCCAAGAAGAAAAAATATTACGCTAAGCCTGGTCAATCGTTGCTATCGACCTCAACATCAACACCAAAGCCGAACATTCATGGTTCGAAGATCATGCTCTGTATCTGGTACGAAAAAGGGTGTTGTTTACTATGAGCTGCTGAAACCTGGCGATTCTGGGCGATCGGTATCGGCTACAATTGATTCGTTTGACCCGTGCATTGTGAGAAAAACGCCCGGCATACGAGCAAAGACATGATAAAGTTATTTTTCTTCATGACAACGCTCGGCCTCATGTCGCAAAAGTCGTAAAAAATATTTGGAAACGCTCAAATGGGATGTTTTACCGCATCCGCCGTATTCTCCGGACTTTGCTCCTTCTGATTACTGGTTGTTTCGAAGGATTTGGCAAGTCACCGGTTTACTTCTTTTGCAGAAATCGAAAATTGGCTTCAAAATTGAATCGCCTCCAAAGACGAGTCATTTTTTCGAGATGGAATTCGAAAATTGCCTGAGAGATGGGGAAAAAGTAGTAGCCAGCGATGGACAATACTTTAATTAATCTGTTCATTCATTTGTTTTGAAATTTTGAACACAAAAAAACGGATCGAACTAATTTGTACTGCCAATATAAAAATTTATAATACTTATTTAAAATATTTGCAAATTATTACAGGAAAATATGAAGAAGTCAATCTACTACATTAGTTATTTTGTATGTAATATAATCTCTAAAAAAATCCTTTTTTAAAAAAAGGATACGTTAAGTACATAAAAAAATTTATTGTATTTGCAAGTATCTTTAAAAAAAGGAAGATAAATAAATTACTTCTCAAGACGATATAAACTTGGTTCAAGTAATCAAATATTGATAAATCCAATTGTTAAAAATATTTTTAAAAATATTACATTTTTAATTACTAATAAAATTTTATTCTATTTGAAATCACAATAGAATCAGAAAAGAATAAAATGAAATTTTATTAATAATTAAATATTTACAGCATTTTCGAAAACGTTTTTAAAATTTAAATTTGTCAATCATTTGACTAATCAAATTGAATTCACATCTTTTTTTAAGCGATTAATTTTTTTAATCTTTTGTTATACGTGCTGACACAAGAATTCACCAATCTCCATGAGCAATATTTTTTTTTATTAAATAAACTTTTTTTGTTTAAACTTCAATATTCTTCAAATTAACTTATAATTTGAATAACAGAGATTAATACAAGCAACCGTATGACTATTATAAAATGACCCGCTTTTGCATCTTTCTTTCTGATTATATTGGGTCATCTAAAAAGTATCCGCGGTTTTTTGTCACTAGATGTGTGTTGATGGTCATATATCTAGTGACAAAGTACCGCAGATACTTTTTAGATGACCCAATACATAATACAATTTTAACCTACATATAGCATGATTATATGTATCAAATATCGATTTATCATCTCCAGCCTTGAAAAGTGGACGATGTACCCTAGAGAGCCTATAATAAAAGAGTCGCCAACTCACCATGTGATCCGAATCGCGCTGATTGGATTAGGGCGTATGGCGCTCAGAAAAAGTTAGAGTGATAGTGACACAAGCTGCGGCTTTTATCTTCCTGCCACTAACCTAGTTTCCATCGAGGGTTTAAATCGAATCGACTCTGTATCTTGAAACGAGATGAAAATTATAAAAGTGAACGAATTTATTAGAATACTGATAATTTCATTGGTCAACACCTAGTAAATTTGTTCACTTTTGTAATTTTCACTTCGTTTCAAGGGGTGTTTTCCATCTACGACATTTGAGCGATTATCTCATCCTTGTTTAACATTGGCGAACAACATGGATGTAAAGACTTAAACATAATAGCACAGGCAATAGGCACAACAAGGAATAACGAGCCGTCCAATCAGAGCACTGGTATGTAAGTTCGATATCCCAGAACTCTGATTAGATGGCTCGTTATTCCCTGTTGCCTGTGCCTATTATGTTTAAGCCTTAATTTACTCCGTCACACCGTGTCACTTCTGTGTTTCTTGTTGGATAATAATTTTATACGTAGATACAATTTTTTACAATTAAAATGATCCAAATGACTTATGTACGTACTTCTTATTTCATATCCTATGTGTAAAATGGAAATACTCTAAAGCGCCAACCGAAAATTGGCAACCATAAACAGAGTGTTCGATTATGCTTTTCTGCTGTGTCTAATCGTGCCGTGGCGTGTCGTTGTTGTGCCTACTGCACACTGGACGCGATAAGCGATGAGCGACGAGCGATATCCAATAAGAGCTTTGCTTTATGTCATCACGTGAGAAAAAGCACAGTTTTTATTGGATATCGCTCGTCGTTCATCGCCCATCGCGTCCAGTGTGAACTAGGCATTGGAAAGTACGCGTCCGACGCTGTATCGATGTGTGTCATCTAAAAGTCTTGATGGAAAGCATCCAAAATACAGAATTGATCCCCAGAATGTCAGAACCACGTTTGAGATCCGTTTCGGATAGAGTTACATTAAATGTAGCTTTTTCCGCCTGTATTAAACAAAAAAAAAGTAACAGTGCCGGCCACTCAACGTCTTTCAACCTCATTTATAGCTGCAGCAGTTAGTAACATATTATATAATCGTCACTAGAAAACACCAGCCCTCGACTGAGTATAGGAGCCCTGTTCTTGATTGTATACGAAAATATAGCAATTCCGTGTACAATCGAGAAATTGTCATTTTCGTATACAAAAATTATTTATATATGTGCTCAAGAATAGAGCCCCAGATGTATAGTGTTGTGTCGACGAAAACGGACAATTGGAACGCAACTTATGTCGTCGTGTGCACGAAAGTGTCTAGAGATATTGCAATTGGAAAGCACCCTGTAGTTGGTTAGTTCTTACATTCGATTTAAACTCTCGAAACTGGACCATTGTCATTCTAACCTTTTCGAGCTCATATGCCCCGAGCCAATCAGAGCACGATTCGGATCACGTGGTGAGTTGGCGACTCTTTTATTATAGGCTCTCAAATGTACCCTAAAAAAGTAGACGTTGCTATGTAATTTATATCCATATTGTCAGAGGGCAGTAGTGCGCGACAGCATTTTGCGATTACAGGTTTGGGCCGTCATGTCCTCTCAGGTTTCTCTCTGCATATATGTATATACCGTCTATATGTGAAAAGACCAATTTAGAGGATTAAGTACAAAGCGTGAGTTTTGATCGCGCTCCCGCGCGAACATCATGGACGATAGACGAGATAATCGCGTGGTTATAACGATATTGTTTCTATGTTTACTGTGGTATGCGGTATCCAGCAGCAGCAATGTCATCGACAAAATGCTGCTATCAAAATTTCCATATCCGTTGACGGTAACCATGGTTCAATTAACCTCGATCACAGTGTATTCCAGCCTGTTCTTCAATTTATGGGGTGTAAGGAAATATTCGTCTAACATAACATGGAGCTACTATTTGCGGCTTATCATACCTCTAGCTCTGGGCAAGTTCCTCGCAACCGTTTTTAGCCATGTCAGCATTTGGAAAGTACCCGTCTCTTATGCTCATACTGGTATGCATACGAAATACATACTAATGATGGGATTTTGAGCCTGAGCACATAAACGTTTTTCCTTTTCCTTTACATACACAAAGGCTGCGTTCAGCAAAGAAAATTAATCAGTTAATGCTTTCTAATGATTCTTTAAAACGATTGGTTCCTACACTTGGATTTAACGAAGAACTAAAGTTAAGAATCAATTATATTAAAATCACTAAGCGCTAACTGATTAATTTTTTCACTTTGACAATCAATCATCATACGGGTAGACAGAATGTAAAAATTTGTGCATACCCAAGCTCGAAATTTCATGATCTTATCACTGATTATTATTGACTTTTAGCAGTTCTAACTAGTATAAACATATGTATCTATCACATATGCTTGTATATATTCATTCATATATATACACATGTCACATCACGTCATATATATGTCATACATGAATTTCTGTAAATATTATAATTCTTTGATATTATGGCATTATAGTTCAACGTTCCTATATAAGTGATTTTTTTAGACAAAGTGCTACTACAGTGACATTTCTGTTTTATAACAAATAAGTATGAGCTTGATTATTTGTATAGCAAAACAATATATCTTAATGTAACGACCAAACTGAGATATTTAATTAGTTAAAAAAAGTTATTTAATAAAATAGCATAACATTTGATAATACATTTCAGCTCAAAATCTTCATTAGTTCAAATAAAAATACAATACAATTAAAAATATAAAGTTGAAACATTTAAAATTCAATACTTTACAATTCAACATAAAACAATGAAGTGATAAATGAGTCTATATATAAATACACCAGACAATTGTCTCGCATCATACGAGATTTATATGACTGTATATTTGTTCTTTTTCAAAGCATTCTAAACTAGTTCTGAACTAGTTCTCTGAATACGTTATATTTCTTTTATAAAAATGAATATAAGGGGGCTTATTACGGTTCTTGAAACGAAATGAAAATTATGAAAGTGATCGAATTTATTAGAATATTTATAACTTCTTTGGTTAATACTGAGTTTGCTAATAATGAGTTTGCTCATTTTTGTAATTTTCATTTCGTCTAAAGAATCGTAATAAGCCCCAAGATGTGAATAAATAATTTTCTTTATGCATACGTTTATGCGGCTACACAAGTTTGTGTGGATATACTTTTACACATGTAGTACTAGACTGTATAGAAAGTAGTTCCAATTTAATTATTGGTTTATGTACATCATGCAACATATACATGTCCTCTACTATTTCGCAATTTTCGCAATAATTAATAAGATGTTAATTGTTAAAAATCGCCGAATATTATTTTTCAATAATTTTTTTTACAAGTACTATCAACTTTACAGAAAAAGGGCAAAAGACAAAAATTGTTTATTTTCTTCTCATAGAGCTCTAATAATTTCGGGTACCGATTAAGGATATCATGTAAATGTGGTTATTGGCTGTAGAACAGAGAAGTTTTTGGATTTTTCTGTTCTACCCTACAGCCAATCAAGGCTTGAAAGCTTTACTGTACGACACATGAAATATCAGGCTGCTACAGATAAAATTTCTGTAATGGCTCCGGCCGTATCCAATGAGAGTATATGTCGGTATTTATAGTCAGCTTTTATATCCAAGACCATCTTAAGTATGGATAAGAAATCATGAACTAATCAGAAGGTTGCATTAGCGTCTTAAGACATTACTTAAGACGATCTTGAAATAAGACTCAACTATGAATACTGACTTTATGAAAATATCAATAAAGCTGTACATTTGATATCGGTGTCTCGCGCGACAAATGTCGCGCTGGTATGCTGGAGGCATTAACAGCAACCTTAAGACGTGAATTTAAGCCGATGAGCCAATCAGGATATTGCTTTAGATCTATGTACTCTAATGGAAATAGAAATAGCAGGAAACTTATCCATAAGGCGAGTTTCAATTTGTTGAAATTCACCTTATTATGAGATTATGGATAAGTTTACTGTTATTTCTATTTCCGTTAAATTACATAGACCTAAAGCAATATCCTAAATGGCTCATTGGCTTAAGTTCATGTTTTACGATCACTTGCGGAATTTTGTGTACGGTAGCCCTTAGCATGCGTATTAAGAGCTTGGTGTAAACAAAGTTAGTATTCGAACTATTAAATGCTTGTTTTCATAAAGTTTGTTCGCGTTTGTAAGCGCACGCTCCAACATGCCCAATACGCTCCAATACATTCGCGTCACCGGAACCAATATGGCGACTAGATATTCGCGTCGCGTTAGAGCATACTCCATGATCAATTAAGAGCACGCTTCATTTGCCTCACCTCAGAAGGTGATACGATTGGGGCATATTATGCATGCATGCGTAATGGTTGAAAACGTACTGTATCGAAAAAAGTATTGGGAGTACAAATTAGTTCGGTTCGTTTTTTTGTGTTCAAAAATGCATTTATTTCAAAACAAAATGAATAAACAGATTAATTAAAGTATTGTCTATCGCTGGCTACTACTTTTTCTTATCTCTCAGGCAATTTTCGAATTCCATCTCAAAAAAATGACTCATCTTTGGAGGCGATCCAATTTTGGAGAAGTGAACTGGTGACTTGCCAAATCGTACTACATCCTTCGGAACAACCAGTAATCAGAAGGAGCAATGTCCGGAGAATGCACCCGGCGGGTGCGGTAAAACATTTCATTTGAGCGTTTCCAAATATTTTTTTACGACTTTTGCGATATGAGGCCGAGCGTCATGAAGAAAAATAACTTTATCATGTCTTTGCTCGTATTCCGGCCGTTTTTCTCACAATGCACGGCTCAAACGAATCAATTGTAGAATCGATACCGATCGCCCGTAATGGAATCGCCAGGTTTCAGCAGCTCATAGTAAACAACACTCTTTTGGTCGCACCAGATACAGAGCATGATCTTCGAACCATGAATGTTCGGCTTTGGTGTTGATGTTGAGGTCGATGGCAACGATTGACCGGACTTAGCGTAGTAATTTTTTTTCTTGGGGTTGTCGTAGAATCCACTTCTCATCTCCAGTCACAATCCGATGCAAAAAACCTTTTCTTTGTTGTCTTTGAATCAGCTGTTCGCAAGTGAAAAATCGCCTTTCAACGTCTCTCGGTTTCAGTTCATAAGGCACCCAATTTCCTTGTTTTTCAATTATTCCCATGGCTCTCAATCGTGCAGAAACAGTTTGTTGAGTTACTCCCAATGATTCTGCAAGCTCCTCTTGCGTTTGACTCTGATCTTCTTCGAGTAATGCTTCTATAATAATTCTTTGTCTTCAAATTTTTTTGGCTGTTCAGAGCAAGGCTTGTCTTCAACGCTGAAATCTCCATCCTTGAAACCATTCCCTACATAATTTATTAGTTGGAGCAATGTCACCATAAACTTCGACAAGCATTCGATGGGCTTCAGCTGCACTTTTCTTCCAATTAAAGCAGAAAATTAGAAACCCTTTGCCTCCCGCAAATACTGCTTGGTTAACACAACATTAGATATTTCAAACACAGTAAAAATCAAGGTTTTTGTATGAAACTCAAAGCGATATAAACTGAATATTATTAGCAGATGTCTAATCTCTCTGAAAACGCAAAAATCAACTGTCACTATGAATTATTCACACAGCCGGAGCCATCTTTTGGAAAACGGACCAAACTAATTTACTCCAACTGAATATTATTAGCAGATGTCTAATCTCTCTGAAAACGCAAAAATCAACTGTCACTATGAATTATTCACACAGCCGGAGCCATCTTTTGGAAAACGGACCAAACTAATTTACTCCCAATATTTCAGATTCATTTTGTATAAAAATGCATTTAATAAATTTTTTATATAAATATAAAAATATAATATAATATAACAATATAAAATAATATTAATAAAATAATATTAATAATATTAATAAAAGAAAATAAAATAAAATAAATAACACAACTATAAAAATCAAAGCTTTAAACGGTCTAACTGGATCTTAAATGCTTGTATGATTCTTGTGCGAATTTA